GGAGGGGGGTGGTGTCGGGGGGGGCCGGCCGGCCGCCGGGGCCCTTGCCTCGGGGTGCCCGGTGCCCGGCGGCAAACGGTCCTGGCGCTTTGGTACCACCAAAAAAAGGTATAATTACGCTACCGGGTATAAATTGACTCTGTGTACCACTGAATCATACTGAGTGTTTGTAATGTGTTCCTTCCCTAATAGATGCTCTCTATGAATAGAGAGAGTGCCTATTTACTCTGAAATATTTGGCACAGCGGACGGAGTCTGAAGCGCGGAAGAAGTGTCTATTATTTTCCCACTGCCTGTGTGCAGCTGTCATTTCTGAGCAACACGTTCCTCGCACATCCCTGCTTCCCAACCTTGCTGATGGTCCACCCAAGGGTTACAACAAGAAGAGACTTGCATGCCACCGCACTCAGCCAAAACCTAAACGTTGTGGTTTGTATTTGACCGAACCCAAGACCTAAGCATTGTGGCTTGTATTAAATCATTGCAGATAACTGTTATGGTTTTCTTTTTTTTTTTTTTAATCACCGGGAGGATGGTTCTTCCCCCACCTCCCCATGTATCACTTGAATATTCAGTGATGTCATGTTGTTTGACCTCCGCTTTAACGCAAGGAATGCCAGTGTTTTGGCTTTTGACCTGCAGAAGTATGTTAGTGTTTAATGAGAGAGACCGGCTTAATGCATCTTACTAGGCAAACTGAAATCTGATGGATATCTTAAAAGATACCATCTTTTGTGTGTAGGCTTTCTCCCGCTGCCATACCGTCCCTTCTTTCCATTCCTCCATATGTAGGCATACTTCATGCTGCAAGGAATGCCAGTGTTTTGGCTTTTGACCTGCAGAAGTATTTTGTTGTTTTTTGATGGGGGCGGGCTTCATGCATCTTACTAGGCAAACTGAAATCTGATGGATATCTTAAAAGATACCATCTTTTGTGTGTAGGCTTTCTCCCGCTGCCATACCGTCCCTTCTTTCCATCCCTCCATATGTAGGCATACTTCATGCTATGATACAGCAGTAAGCACGCACAGGATTCTTGAGGGAAAAAGAAACGTTTTCATGTAAAGCCCCAGTAGGATATATTGTACTGTAAAACTGTTATTTATATTCTGCCGGCACTGTACTTTGGCTGGTAAAGTCGTTTGGATGTCGTTTCTTCTACTTGAAATTCTCCATTAAAATAAATGAGATTGGTTCTGAAAGAAAAAAATCCCAGAGGAACAGTTATGGTAAATAATATATGTTCCCAAACCCAGGAGGCCTCCTGAAATCTGTATTTACTTGAAGGACTCCAGTGGCCTCAGTGCTGGGTAAATAATATGTGTACCAAACTATGTATGACATGCATACCAAAATGCAAATGTAACCAGGTAAACAGAATGCCTTTTTTAAATGCCTAAATATGGTAGGAGAACATCAGAGAGAGAGAGGCTCTAGACATGTTTTATAACTTTCCGTGTAAGAGGTTTTTTCAGAGAAACAATTTTATTAAACAAAACCGAAGAATCTCGCTGACAGAAAAAGTATGTTTAAAAGTAACAAACCGCCAGAAAGCCAGGAAATCCAAAATTAAAGGATAAATCTGTCCCGAGTCCTCACACTGCGGGCCAAGTACAGCAAGCCCCATCCACTTGCTGCCCTGAGAAAAAAGACTTAAATAGGCATTTGGACTTCAGAACTAATTCTGGTCTTGCACCGCTGTGAATGGGGCATTAGCCCACTGAATTACAAGTTGTACGAACCCATGAAAGTGGGCAAGAATCAGAGTCCATCAGGTTTGCCTTCTGTCATTTTGGTTTCTGTGCTGTTAGATATGACACACCAGGCACCTCGTTTGTGCATGTGTATGTATGCACCGGGGCGAAGGGAACCTGGAAGCAAAGGTAGTTGTTTCAGAGTCCAGTCAGTCTTATCCTTTCTGATGACAATATGTCATGGGTTGGAGAAGTACATCTTGGCATTGATGCATAAAATGGTTAAAATGCACTGATTTTGACTTCCATGCAGGTGTTTATACAGCACATGCTTTTAAGATAGTATATTTTTTCTGCTGAAACTAGGAATTCACTACACCGGCCTTGCAGACTTGTTTACACAGCTATATACGGTATGTGTGTGTCTACATCAGCTTCAGTTGGTATAGTTCCTTTGGTGAAGTCTTGTAAAATGTACAGGTGTGGGTATGCTACATTCCTCTCTTGTGTTTTTCCTTCTTTTTTTTCCTCTTTCCCCCCAAAAAGTCACTTGATCAGGTATCAGACATACTGAAAACCTGGCAAGACTACAGGAAAGTGGCTAGACTTGGAGTGTTTGTGTACTTAAAGAAAGAATCTTGCACATTTTCAACTTTCAGTCACAGATTTTTTTTTATAAGAGCAATTGGAGGTCTGACCCAGCCCTCAAAGCGGAAATCAAAAGCTCCCAGAGAAACATACCCGAGGAATGTGAATCTGATCCAAGAACCATACGCAATGCACATACAGTACTGTCAGTCTTATAGGAAGTCTTGCCATATATGGACATCTGGACCCTGAGCTGTTTATCATCATGATAGGCTTGTAGCTGGCTTTGGACATTTCTGGCTTGCCTCGGGTTTAGTATGCCAATTAGTTCCTTTCCCAAAATGCTCACCAGGATATTTCTTAAAAATTGTAATAAATATATCTCAAAATCCGGAGAGGTCTAGTTAAAGTTACGTTGGTAGGCTTTTGCTTAAAATGCAGATTCCAAGCAAGACTTAACTCTGCTAGCTCAGAAATAGACACAGAATAAAAATAAAGAGATTTATTCCATCGTGAATGTGGTTGCCTGGTATTTGTCTTTCTTAGAAGTCATCTGGTAACTTATTCTATGCATCTGTAGGCGTAGAAAGTGCTCTGAAGTAGACTACTCGCTGGACTTCTACTCATCCTTTTCTGGAGGGACGCGTGAGTGCACGAATCAACAAAGGCAAAGCGAAATAGAAAACTTCATTTCCCAGGAGCCGTCAAGCAAGTTATCCACGTGGTGCCATTTGTATTGCTTTGTTAGAGTGAGGCACGTGGCGCAAGCCTTCTGCTTTGGAGCCGTGACAGTTCACGTCAGCTAATCTTAGCAATGAGAGCCATTAGCTCTTCTCCGAAGTGAACCAGAATAAGAAGGCTGGGCGGTGCAGTGGATGGCATAGGGCCTGTGGAAATGTTCGCTGCTGAACTGGTGGACCTAGTCCAAGTTCCTCGTGATACTGGATCAGATTCTCTGCTAGCGTCAGTTGGGCAGATTCACTGAATGCACTGTTGGCCATCAAAATACTTGGACTTGAGAAGTCCAATTCCATTGAGCTAAAGCTACTGGGCAGTATGAGCAGAGCAAAACCATCAGATGTGATACCCATTATGCCCAGATCGGAGTTCTGTTGTTTTCATTAATCGTCGTTATTTAAACTTAGGTTCTTTGTGTTCTAACATGTAATATTTTGTTAATTCTAGAGTCACTGAGAATGCTGCTTTAAGCTCTTGGCTTCTTTCTTAAAAAGTAGCTGGAGTTTTGTAGGAATGTGTGTGGTCTTAAAGCAGGAAAGTGATTACTGGGAGTAGAATAATCTAAATGAGCATTCAAAGCACATGTAAAACTATTCATATGAAAGAGAGATTATAAGTAGCACGAAGCCAAAGGTCCTTTACCTACTGAGCTTCAGGTTCAGTATATCTGATTTTATTCTGAA